TTCCCCATATCTGTTGTTCTTTTGCTCAAATTACTAGTGCAATGGAACACGAACCAAGAGATTCATTAACTACGTGGAGTTTATTAAAGGGGGAGAGAGAAAGCAGAGAAGAGGGTTGAGAAGCGAGAGTGAGGGGGTGAACAGGTGAGAAGAGAGAGTGAGAGGACATGAGAGCAAGAGATGAAGGAAGAGAGCAAAAACAGTAAAAGAGCAAGAGAGAGCAAGCAAGCAAGAGAGCATAAGTAGGCAGGGGTCTGTCTTTTAAAGGGGTCCTTTGCACCTGCTTGCAGACTCTTACTCATGGAACCCTAGGCTGACCAGGGTACTGCCTGAGTGCATTCTGCCAGGTGACAGGGGTAGGCCAGGATAATGTCTGAATCCTTACAATCACCAATTAAAGTGTTAGTATTAGGGTTAGGGTTAGGCTTAGATATGTAACCTCATCCTTATCACAGCCCAACATAGACTGCTAGATTTCAAACCATGCTGGACACCACCTCCAGTTACTCCATATTCACATCTAGGTGTCAGGTCTTACTGGACTATAGCCCCAGATCAGCACACTGCTAAATGTTAGACTTTACTAACACCTTCCCCCCAAGCCTGCTGCCAAAGCCTCACAAACATGGCTAGGTGTCAGGATGGCAGACATCTCACATTACCCCCATAACACTGCTGGGTAGCTGTACTTGCTAGACATCATCCCCCACATTGTCAAAAAATACAATGCTACATAATAGATCTTGCTGGACAGTCCCATCTGCAGCTTCTCCCACATGGACTGTTTATCAAGTCCTACTGGATAACAGATATAAATGTCCAGGTATAATCTGCTGGACACTATCACTCCTACAAAAACACATAAAGCATTATATATCAGGTACAAATGGACAACCACCCCCATCCCAGATAGAGTTTTAAACAGGACATGATGGCTATTACTCTTGCTGCTGTCCAATAATATTAGTCCCTGCTGAATAAATACCCTCATACCCATATAACACCCACATACAATGGAAGGTACCAGGTCCTGTAATACCATATCTCACCTTGCCCCCCCACAACAGTAGTTGAACACTGCCCTACAGTCCTAATTACACTTACATGTGAGGTTCAACTGGACCTTTCTCCATCTCACACACTTTACAAGGTAACAGGCTTTATTGGAACACACACACACACACACACACACACACACACACCCCACCACCACCACCACCACCACCACCACTACCACCACCGCCACCATCACTACAACCACTGCCCCTCACAGACTGCTGGATTTTGAACCATGCTGGATACCCCTCACAAACTCTCCTCAACCCTCACTGCTAACAGGCATGCACTGCTAGTTAACACTGCCATCTTGTGGCGGTTCCAAATACTATGGGATCCCTGGTACTACCCAACACTGTCCACTGGACTTCCACTCTCTACCCAACACTAACTGAAAAGTATCAGGACCTGCAGGGCAACCCTTCCTGTTGCCCCATATATGCTGGTAGGTATCAGACCTCACTAGCCAGCTGACCAGCACCCCCCTATGCTGTTAGAAATTAGGTTATACTGGATCCTCTCCTTTTCCCCTAATGCCATCTTAGGTATCAAGCCCTGATAGACATGCCCTCCATTGCTTTTATTGCTCTCTTTTCAGGCCAAGCTGGGTACCCCTATAAATGTTACATCATATGTTTGTTAGATATCAGACCCTGCTGGATACCACACAATCACTGCTAAACAGTGTGTGTGGGACTTCAGTAATAGTAGAAGAGTATCTAGCAAATCCTAACATCCAGCAGTATAGGTAGGTGCCACCCTGAGTGTAGGATGCCTAGCAAGCCCTAAAACTTAGAAGTTTATATGTGATAGTGACAGGAGGGTGCTTTGAAACCAATGCCTCATAAATATAGCAGTGTATGTTTAGTAGGCCCTTTTGTATTAGTTAGGGTTACTATTGCTGTGATGAAATACCATGATCAAAAGTAAGTTGGGAAGGAATGGATTTATTTAGCTGAAGGAAGTCAGGACAGGAACTCAAACAGGCCAGGGACCTGGAGGCAGAAGCTGATGGAAAGACCATAAGGTGCTGCTTACTGGCTTGTTCCTTATGACTTGCTCAGCCTGTTTTCTTACAGAATCCAGGACCACTAGCCCCTAACCCCATTGATCTGGGCCCTCCCCCATCAATCACTAATTAAGAAAATGTGCTACAGGCTTGCCTACAGCCCAATTTTATGAAGGCATTTTTTCACTTGAGGTTCCCTCTCAGGTTACTTAAGCTTGTGTCAAGTTGACATAAAACTATTCAGTATACCCTGGTACTAGGATATCAGCTATAACTGATTCAGAGCAGTGCATGTGGGTTTGTAGGGGGAAAAGAGTGTCCAGAGGGCCCCATAACCAGGAGTGTGTGGGGTGTTGTTATGGGGTGGGGTATCTAGCTGGGTTTGATACTTAGCAGTGTACTTTGGGGGAGGCAGGTGAGAAAACATCAGGGCTCACATATTAGTCAGGGTTCTCTAAAGGAACAGAATTGACAGAATGAATAAATACACACATATATGTCATATTACATTTTTACATTTTTTCCTTTTATTGGAAATAGAATCCCTTCTCATATAATATATTCTGATTCAGTTTTCCCTCCCTCTACTCCTTGCAGTTCCCCCAAAATTCCCTCCCATCCAGGTCCACCTCTTAAACATAGATTTCTATGGGACAACAGTAAAACAAAATAAAATAAGACAAAACAAAACCAATACATCAGAATTGAATAAAACAAACAAATAGAAGGGAAAAAGTCCAAGGAAGGCATAAGAAACAGATCTGTTCAGGGATCCCACAAAAATAATAAACTGGAAGCCACAATACACAGGCAAAGGACCTGTAGGGCAAAAGGAGAGAAGGAATAAACATAAATAAAACAAAATTAAAAATTACAGAACAGTCCCTGGCATGACACTGTGAGACAAGGAGCCTCCAAAGATGCCATCAAGTTCATTTTCTGTTGACCATATACTGCTGGACATGCAGTCTACCTTAAGAGTAGTTTGTTTTCCCAGTGAGACTTCCTTGGAGGAAACTAAAATTTCATTTTCAAGTAGTCATCAACTGGAGATAGCTACTGGGTTAAGAATGGGGTGGGGCATGCACCCACTTCTTTTAGTTCAAGCCCCCAAGTGGTGCAGACTCATTCAGGCTTTTTGCATGCCCTCAGTCTCTGTGAATTCATATGTGCATTGATCATGTTGATAGAGAGGTCCTTGTCTTCTTGGTGTCCTCCAACTCCTCCAGTTCTTACACTTTTTATGCCTCTTCTATGGAGTTCCCTGAACAAAAGGGAGGAATATGGATGGAGACCTCCCGTTTAAGAATGAGAATTCCATGGTCTCTTACTCTTTAAATAATGTCTGGCTTTGGGTCTCTGTATTTGTTCCCATCTGCTGCAGGAGGAAGCTTCTCTGATGATGGCTGAACAGAGCAATGATCTTCCCTGACTAGGGTCTATATTATTGTGTGTATGTGCATAATGAAGAGGATATTTATTAGACTGGCTTACAGGATGTGATCTGAATGCTTCAACAATGGCTGTCTTCCAATGGAGAGGCTGAAAATCTGGTTGTCTTTCAGTTCTTGACACTGGGTATCTCAGCAGTCCAAACCTGGTGCTAAAGCTACTGACCTCAATCTATGTTGGAATACTGAAGATGCTGTATTTAATACTGGTGGCAGTAACAAGATAGATGAACTTGCTGGCAAGAGTGAGGGAAAATTGACAAAAAGCAAAGATTTTTTCTTCTATGCCCCTTTGTAGGGGTTGTGACCAGAAGAAGGCCCAAATTTAGAATGGGGTTTCATACTTCAGATAATCTAAGAAAAATCCTCACATTCTGGGGGGTAGTGGCACACACCTTTAATCCCAGCACTAGAGAGGCAGAGGCAGACAGATCTTCGAGTTCAAAGTCATCCTGGTCTACAGAGCAAGTTTCAGGATGGCTAGGACTACACAAAGAAACCCTGCTGAGAGACAGAGAGAGAGACAGAGAGACAGAGAGAGACAGAGAGAGACAGAGAGAGAGAGAGAGAGAGAGAGAGAGAGAGAGAGAGAGAGAGAGAGAGAGAGAAACAAAAAAGTCAGGAAAAGTCACAGGTCGATATATTGGCAAATTTCTATAAATTAGCAGAGATCAAAATTAAAAATATAAGTAAATAAATACATGATGAATGATGTTATCATTGAAGGCCTGATAGACACAGGTATGGACATAATCATATCACAAGAACTTTGGTGTCCAAATTGTCCTCTTCAGGAGGTAAATGTTCAACTTTTAGGGATTGGAACTTTATCTCAGGTAAAACAGAGTGCAAGATGGCTTGAATGTATTGGGCCAGAGAGCAATATTAAAGCCATATGTTGTTAAGATAGCAAGAATTTGTAGGGACATGATTTGTTACATCAATGGAATACCCATGTAAACATTCCCCCAATCTTAGAAACAAGCCATTTAACTTATGGTTCTAGAAAATTTATAGAAGATATTATAAAGAACAATCACCAACCGCTCAAGTTGTGCAAAAACAGGACACAACAGCTGCTAATCTTCCAAAGACACCAACAACCCTACTTTTACAGTGGCTGACAGACAAACCTTTATGGGTTGTGCAATGGCCTTTAACAACAGAGAAACTGCAGGCTTTAGAAGAGTTGGTACAGGAGCGACTAAATGTTCAACATATTGAGGAATTAATCAGCCCTTGGAATTCTCCTGTATTTGTTATTAAAAACAAATCTGGAAATGGAGAATGGTAACAGATTTAAGAGCTGTTAATAATGTGATACAGTCAATAGACTCTTTACAGTCTGGAATTCTTTTGTCTTCTCTATTGCCTAAAGGATGACCTCTCACAGTTACTGATTTAAAATATTATTTCTTTAGTATTCCATTACAAGAAAAATACAGACAAAAATATTCACAGTGACTACTTAAAAAATTCTCAGCCTGCTAAGAGATACCAATGGAAGGTTCTCCCACAGGGAATGTTAAATAGCCTCACCCTGTGCCAATATTTTGTTCGGCAGCTGTTGGAAATAATATGTAAGCAATTTCCTCAGTCTATAGTATATCATTTTATGGATGACATTTTGTTTTCTGATTCAAATGTAGATAATTCAGAAAGAACATTTGAAGGAGTAAAGTTTTGCCTTGTTGGGGATTGCAAATTGCTCCTGAAAAAAATACAAAGAGGAGATTCTATTAATTATTTAGGCTATAAAATAGGTTTACAAAATTTAGACCCCAAAAGGTATAAATTAGGAGAGATCACTTGCAGACTCTTAGTGACTTTCAAAAATTGCTAGGAGACATTTCCCATCTACAACACATTATTGGTACAAAACCTGGCCTAATGATTAATTTAAACAAAACCTTAGATGGTGACAAGGACTTAAATAGTCCCAGGGAATTAACAGCTGAAACTGAGAGAGAGAATTGGTTTGGTGGAAAACAAAATAGAGATCAAACATGTGGAATGTGTGGATCCAAAGCTTAACTGAATTCTAGTCATATTACCCTCTAAGCATTGCCTTATAGGAATTTTAATGCAGAGGGAAGATATTATCATAGAATGGATATTTTTACCACATAAACTGAGTAAAAGTTAAAAGCTTACATGGAAAAGATCTCTGCACTAATTCTAAAAGTAAAATTGAGACTTTGTTAATTATCACGAATAGATTCAACAAAAATTATAGTATATTTTACTAATGATGAAACTGACAAATTATGGGCAGAAAGTAAACCCTGGCAAAGAGCTTGTAGTAATTTTTTGGGAAAGGTAAATAACAATTATCCCCAAAGCAAAAGAATTAAACTTATAAAGAGAACTAACTGGATTCTTCCTCACATTGTATGGGAAACACTAATAACTAAAGTCCCTTCATTCTATACTGATGCGAATAAATCAGGAAAGGCAGGTTACAAATCAGAAAATTTAAGTAAATCTAAGTCCTTATAATTCTGTTCAAAAGTCAGAAGTATATGCTATTCTCATGGAGTTAATGGATCACAAAGAACCTCTCAACATAGTTACTGATTCACAATATGCATAGTTGTTTTGCATATTGAAGCTCCTGAATTTATACCAGATGATACAGAATTGACTTTATTATTTATTCAGTTACAAGACATAATCAGGAATAGGAATCATCCCATAATATACATATACATATACATACATATACATATACACATGCATACATATACACATACATACATACATACATCATACATCTGATCCCATATGAGTCTGCCAGGCCCTCTAGCACAAAGTAATGATGAAATTGATCAGCTATTGATAGGAATGTTCTAAACGCCTCAGATTTTCATAAAAATACCATGTCAATAGCAAATGTTTGAAATAAGATGTTTCTATCACTTCGCAACAAGCCAAGGATATTATAAGGAAATGTCCTACTTGTTCTTTATACAACCAAACTCTACCACCTGCAGGAAGTAACTCAAAGGGTAATCAAAGGAATAAAATCTGGCAGATGGATGTGTTCCACTTTGTAAAATATGGAAAATTAAAGTATACCATATCATTGATACCTATTCAGGTTTTCAATGGGCAACTGCTTTGAATTTGGAAAAGGCTTACTCAGCAATTACACATTTTCTAGAAGTTATGGCTATTATGGGTATACATGCACAAATAAAGACAGACAATGTTACAGTATATGTCTCTAAGAAAATGAAACAGATTTTTGCTTATTATAATATAAAGGATATTATAGGTATGCTACATAATCCTACAGAGCAGGTAGTTATAGAAAAATCAAATAAAACTCTAAAGGATATGCTAAACATACAGAAAGGGATAAGGAAAAAAAACCAAAACAGATGGCATGATGTTTTATTAACTTTGGATTTTCTGAATGCTAATAAGAAAGGAACAACAGCTGTGGAGAGACATTGGATAACAGAAAAAAACTACAGAATTAAATCAGTCAATATACTTTAAAGATGTCTTAACCTCCTAATAGAACCCAGGGCATGTGTTATGCTGGGAAAGAAGTTTTGCTTTTGTTTCCATAGGTGATGAAAAGCTATGGACAGCATCAAAATTGATAAAGATTTGATTTGAACAAAATACCTCTTAATTAGAAGAGATGATAGTTCATCAATCAGCATGGCCATTTAATCTACACTAACCTATAAAACTAACAAATGTTTTTCATTTGAAAAAATATAACTTGCCAAAGGAGAACCTCCCCAAAATCTAGGGCTACGGAAGGGTTTTATTTTTTGTCTTTTTTAGGAGAATAAAGGTATCCAGATAAGGAACCCAGAGGCCACTGGGCAGATGAGATATCTGAAGAAAAAGAACAAATCATCCAGAAAAATTGTGCCAAGAAAAGGAATAAATTGGCCTGCTGGTATATCACATTTCCAACTGAATAAAATTTCATAAATCTTCCCAAATTTTTGTTTCTGCTTTTCTCTACAGACATATAATACAAGTGGTCTTTTTTTAAGTTCCAGGTCAATTAAAGATTAAAGCTGGCTTTGGAGTTGGAATGTGAATCTCTCCTTCTCTAAATCCAAGCATTCTTGTTAAAGTAAAATCCAAAATCTCTGTCTCATGTCAAAAGAGATACCTCATATGGGACAGAAGAAAAGCAAATAGTTAAAAGACTATTGTATTACCACTAATCTCATAATCCTTTGGTATAACACGAATAAATAAAAGACCCAGAGACTGATATTGGGGTTCAAACTTCAAGCTGAACATCAGAAAAGCAAAGCAGCTGGCCACTAGCTTCTTACCTCTGCCTCAGGCTGAATAGGCTGATCCTGTCTCTATGCACTCTCACCAAGCCTCCAATGTAACTTCTCCTCAGCATGGCTGGAAAATGAATACCTCTCTGAGAACTTGCTTCTGTCTTACACACTTCCCTAATGTTGAGATTGAAAGTGTGAGCTATAATTCTCTTTTAGACTGATTCACTTGAGTAGAATGGGGGGGGGGGCTTGGACTCACAGAGATCCTTCTATCTTTTAATCCTCAATCCTAGGATTAAAGGTATATACCTCCACCTCCTAGTTTCTGGCTGCTGGGATTAAAGGTGTGTGCCTGGCTTCTATAATTTGTGGTTGACCTTGCTTTCTGAATCTTTAGCAAGCTTTAATAAATCATAAATAATATATACACTTTGGTTTTATATTGACCTTTTAACAGTTTTTCTTAAAGCATAAATATATTTATATAAAAGTTTATAGGATTAATATATGTGTATTTTAAAGTTTTGTCATGATATTGATGGTCATATAGAGTACTAAGTAATTCTAGAAAAAGGTTTCATCTACTTTCTTGTACATGATTTTGGGTTTGGGTCTTTACCAGTGTTCTGCAGTGAAACATGACCATACCTAACAATGGCCTTTTCAGTCTCCAAAAGGAGGACAGGGCCCCACAATGACAAAATCTCCAGGACTATGACAACACCATTAAGCTGAACAACTCCAAATAAAGATCAACTTTGGACTCCAAATTGCTCAGAACAATTTTAAGGTACCCAGCTAAGATGATCCAGTCTCATAAACTACTTTAGCCATGACTTGAGACACGCCCTTCACTTTCCCATTATACAGAGATTGGACAAAAACCATATAGCTTGACAATTAACCCAAATTTTTCTTTCAGGATCCCCTAAAGATGCCACCCCCCCCCACTGGACAGCAGGAAGTAAATTTAAGAACATGACATCCACATTTCCAAGAGGTGGGGTGCGTGGTTTTTGGTTATTTAATAGGTTATGGATATTTGTCATTGTTTAAGGGAATTGGTTACAAAATGTTTTTGGTTATGGTCAGGAAGAAAGCTAAACAAAGGGGATTAGATTTAAGGTTTTTGCTTTGAAAAAAGGGAGGATACAGATAAATGATAGGATAAAAGGGTAGATTATTGAATTTACTCTGAAAAGAAAAAGGGAGGAAACATAAAATTAAAAAGTAGATTATCGAATCTACTTTTAAAAAGTAACTACTAGTTTTAAGTATTTTTTCATTAGATTGAATTTTTGTATATTATATACAATACTGTATATTCATACAAATTTGAAATTAATTGGTTAAAACATACTGTACATATATTTCTAAAATTGTTCAAGATATTATATTTATACAGCTCATTTAACAATATAATGCAAATTTCTAGTCCTTGAAAGTTACTATTATCAATTAGATAAGACAATAAGAAAATGTAGCTTAATAATTAGTCACCTATTACAATCGAATTGATAGTCATATTAGGTAATGTCTTCAAGGTCAAACAGAGATATATTTTAGATAGACTGATCATCTTCAACACTTCAGAGATCTACAGAATATGGCATTTAAGATGTTTTAATAACATAGGTTCTTTTTTATTTAATGACAATGAGACATGTTTGCTCCTGGAAGCACCAATCTATTTCAGAGAAGATGATGTGTATCAAAGAAACTCCACATGGAGTTTACTTTCTTTGTTGCAAAAGCCACTGGGTAAGAAGGTGCTCTTGCCTTGACTGCTAAGAGTGTGCTGTCCAAACTGGGCAAAAAGGACACAAAAAAAATTCTCTGCAAACCATGCCAAGACAAGGTGAGACGATCCTTCAGAATATCTTGCTTCACAGAAATGTTTGTTAGATATGCTAGGCCTGTAGACAGAAGATGGATGGCCCAACATTGCACCAGAACCTTGGGTACTGTCCAGGTAGTCAGCTGTTTCTGTCATTTCTCACATTTTTTGGAAGTTGCTTGCTTGCACTTCCTGTTTACTCAGTTAATATTAATTTCTTCTTGTGTCTTTGAGGGAGTTACAGACTAGATAGTATAGTTACAGTTTTCATTGTTTACCAGGCTCAGAAAATAAACTTACTAAAGATGTGTAAAGTGTGAAAGGTTGAGAGACATTAAAAGATAATTTGATAATGCAAATTAGAATAGAAAGTAAATTAAGTACAAGACTTTGGACTCACCAAGATAGGATAAATAGTGGAATACTTTCTCTGAATTTGCTAAATACTAATGAACTACACATTATTGATATACTTACTGCCTGTATATATTATTATACTTATTGTATATAGTTTTTCTTATATTAGTTATAACTTTTGATTTTAGAGAAAAAAGGGGGATGTGTGGTTATACCTTGTACAAATAAAGTATGTCTGAAGATCAGAGGGTGGAGCTTGTCACTAGTTAACAGACAGACAGGAAGTGAGATGGCCGGGCAGAAACAAGGAATGAGATGTCCACAGCTCAATTTAGAGATCTAGCTAGAAGTCTCTGCTAGAACTACACTAAGGGCCTCAGACAGTTTATTTACATTATATTCCCCTCTCCCTAAGACATTAGTGAATAGAAGTTTGTATAGTCTGAAGTTTATATCAGAGTGATGAAGACTGCTATGAATAAAAGTGAAATGCCAGGTTCTCACATCATTTCACATGTGGGGTATGTCTTTCAGATTAAGATGCCAACCACCACTGTAAAGAAAAATTGCTGATTAACAAAAGACTGGAAAACTGTATCATTACATGCTTGCAATTTGGTGGCTATAAATGATGCTTTTTATGTTTTATTTTCCTAACAGCTAATTACAATTTCCCTATGTGTGGATCTTTTAATTCCTCCTTCTTCCATGAATTAACTTTCTCTGTATGTATGGGGTTTATGAGGAAGTCCTAGTGAACCCACCAGGTTCCCCTTCATCTCCCTATTTCTACTACTAAGCTACATTACCAGCCTGAATTTCCTTTTCATATCATTTCCTATTTTCTGTGGTTGGATTCCCTATCTTTTGCTCATCGATGAGCAGGAATTTTCCATTGCACTGTTGCTGGCCATGCTACACATGGGTTAGAGGCTAGGAACGGCAGGAAATAGAGCCAGGATCACTGTGGTCTTGGAGGAGTCCGGATTGAGTGATATCGGGTAGGAAAGCCGTCGGGGCAGGGCTTGGGATCGGCTCAAGACAAGGTCAAGAACTGTCCCAGCAGGGGTCAGGCCCGGGTCAGAGCGGGGTCAGGCCCAGGTCAGGGCCAACTCCCCCACAGGTTCTGGCATCTGGGATGGGCACTAGGGTGGTGAGGGTCCCCTGTGGGCTCAGTACTCTACTCTGGCCCCTGCTGTTACTGCTGCCCCTGAGCTCCAAGGCTGGCCCTGTCCCAAAGCCTGGTGTTCCCAGCCCCTCAAAGGTTCCTGGAGTAGTACCAGGGAGACCAGGGCCGCAGAAAGGATGGGAACTGACCGCCAGCAGGCACCAGGATTCTGTGAGTGGAGCAGAAGGTCCGTTTGAGAGGCACTGGGTGGGCGATGGGTGGAGGCCATACCGGAAGTGGTGTCCCTCTTTTGCCTTCCCCCTTGGAACCAGGTAGTCTCAAAAAATATCAACCAAAGGGATTTAGGCACCCCTCGGGGACTGACTCTTTATACCCTAGAGCCTGGTGTGATGCCATGGGTCCAAAATGGTGTCTAGAGCTGGCCCAGTGGTGGTGGTAGAAAGCATGGGATTACAAGGGAAAGCAAAAGCAACAAAACTCCTAGAGGCTTGGGGTGCTAATTCCTGAAAGAAGGTAGACAGCTGGTCAAGATCTGGGTCCAGTAACCCCCTCCCAGATGAATCATAGAAAAAAAAAAGTTGTCATTACTGTCCTCACCCAGTCTCATTTTAGAAATGTAAAGCAATTTGTCCCAGGTCACTCATCAGCACCACAGAGTAATTTTCTCTCCCTGGGATACTGGGCAGACTGAAGTTGAGACAATCACTGAGAAATCATGATACTGAGCAACTGATATCAGTAACCTATGAGACTTATAGTTCTGTGATTTGAAAAGCACAGAGCTGTGTTATTTGGAAAATGAAGTCATATAGGCTCCCTTCTGTCCACCTGCTTGGCAGAGTAATTTAAGGACAGGCTGCTGTGGCCAGCCTTTTATTTGCTCCATCCCATCTTCCCAGATTCCTGAGCTCTTGCTCCCACAGAGCTATCGGTGGAGCTTATCATGTCCCAGGTGGTGGCCAATGAAAGCAGAGACGAGGGTAGCCTGAAGTCACTTGCACAGGTCACTTGTCTTTTGCCAAGATTTTCCAATCTGTTAAGTGGAGGAAAAGCTTCCTTGGGGTGTTATTCTGTCTCTCAGGAATTGTGTGTCTAACAGATTGTATGGGGGTGTTTTCACAGTGTGTGGGAAGCTGAAGGTGGTTGGAAAGGTGTTTGGTGGCCAGGATTCATTGGCTGGCAAGTGGCCATGGCAGGCCAGCCTGCTGTACCGTGGCTTGCATCTGTGTGGAGCTGTCCTCATTGAATCCCACTGGTTGGTTTCTACAGCCCACTGCTTTCAAAAGTGAGTTTGCCTTATCTGGAGCCCCCCAGAGAGAGAGGCTGGGTGGTGAGAAAGATGCAGAATGAGAGAAGGAAGGAAGTTAAAGATGACAAGCCTTTCTCCTCTAGTCTTTTCTCTGGGACAGTCTACTTCCACAAAATACATATTAGTTCTTCCTTGACCGACAATCCTCTCTGCCTGGATTTGCCCCATATGCCATAAAACTTTCCTTGGTCTGTAGTGGTTCTCATTACATTTAATTCTCAGCTTCTGTAAGGATTCCTTTATTCCCCTTCCGTGTCTGCCTACTAACACAGATGTTTCCCAAGAGGATGGCCATGCTTTGTTGTCTGCCTGTATTCCTCATTTTATTTCACTGTCCCTTACTCTTCCATAAGCCAGATCCTAGGCAAAGACCAGCAGCCAGGTGATTTCTTACTTTTGTAAAACTAAGTCCTGGGAAAAACTGTGGCCGTGCCTATGCCATATTAGTCTATATGGATAGGAAATACAGCACCCCTTCCCAACCTGAACAAATGATATGGAAGCCAGGAGTCTCACTCCTCTGGCTCTTTGGAGTCTGACAGAGGGCCTAGCTTCTGATCAGGCATGGAGGGACCCAGAGGGTTTGGGTGCTATGCAATCCAGATCAGGGAATTGAAACTTTGCTTTTTGGCTTTGAGACTCCAGCTTAATCCTGCTGGTAGCTAATTGTGCTGCATTCACCTGAGACACTTTAGGAAACAGAATGTAAGAAGATCTCAGGTCAAGGTTTCTTTTCTCTCAGAAGGAACAAGCTTCAATCAGTATGATGCAGATGAGACATGCCAAAGTGTGTGAAGAGGGCAGCCCCAATGAACATAAATCTATAAATATGCTGCAGTCTTGGAGGCATGCAAAGGAACTGTTAGGGCTGCCAGAAGGGAGGAACTAAGTATGTGGAGTTGGTGAAGACCTAGTGTGGGAGTTGTGAGAACAAAACCATATACAGGCTGTTTACTCAGTCCTATTCAGGAGCAAGGAAAGCTTCCCTTTGATGCACCCATGTATGCATTTAACAAGTCCTTTGTGAGTGTTTAGTACCAAATGCAGAAGCAGTCCTTGGTAAGGGGACAGGGAAATATGTTAGATTTCCATCACTGTGACCAAATAATTTAGAAAATGAATAAAAAGAATAAGGGTTATCTTGACTCATGGTCTCAGTCCAAAGTTAGTTGGCCTGTTTCTTTGAATCTATGACACAGTTCATCATAGCAAGAACATATATAGATGAGGCCTGATCTTTCATGGTAGCTAGGAATCGAAGATAATGAAAAGAAGTGGTGGGGGGGGCTTCAAGGACATTCTCCTAATGGCATAGCTTCTTTTCACTAGGCCTCACCTAAATGTTCCACCATTTCTGGACAGGACCACAGACTGATGACTGTGCCTTTAGTGATTGGCTGACTCGTAGGCCAATAACATTTAAGATTTAAATCATAAAACTAGGATTCAACCACAGTTTTCCTTAAGTAAAACTTTAAAAGTTTTGATTTGAGGACCCTACTAGGGACCCTGTCAGTACTGGAATTCTTTGTTCCTCTAGTTATAAGATATAGTGGGTAATACTTTGTCATGAGGTTAGAGTAGAATATCCATCAGCTTGAAGAAAGAAAGCTGCTATCTTAGTTACTTTTCTATTGCCATGATGAGACACTATGACCAAGGCAACTTGTAAAAGAAAATGTTTACTGGGGCTCATGGTTTCAGAGAGTTAGAGTCCATGACCATTATGGCAAGGAGCATGACAGCAGGCAGGCAGGCATGGTGCTGGAGCAGTAGCTGAGAGCTTAAATACCAATTCACATGCACAAAGTGAAGAGAGATAACTGAGAATAGATTAGGCTTTTGAAACCTCAAAGATCCCTCCCTAATGACACATGCTCTCTATCAAGGTCACATCTCATAATCCTTTCCAAACATTTCCATCAACTAAGAACCCAACATTCAAATATATGAGCCTATGTAGGCGATTCTCATTTAAACTACTGCATTCCACTCCCTGTTTCCCACAGGCTTGTGGCCACATCATAATACAAAATGCATTTAGTTCAACTTGAGAAATTCTAAAGTCTTTCAGTCTCAACACCATTTCAAAGTCCAAAGTCTCTTCTGAGATTCAGAGTAATCTCTTAATTGTAACCCCTATAAGATAAAAAACCAAATTACATTCTTCCAACATACAATGGTATTCCAATATTCATTACCATTCAAAAGGGAAGGAACAAGGCTTCAGTGAGGAAATACTGGACCAATGCAAGATTGAAATCCAGCAGGGTAAACTCCAAATCATGATGCTCTATGTCCAATGCCAGCTTTTCTGAATGCAACATATTTTTTAAAAAATTGGCTCAACTTGCCACATTCAACTCTCCTTGACAGGTATCCCACAACTGCAGCTCTGATTCCTCCAGTATTCCCGGGTCTCCAGCACAACCCAAGCTTCACCTTCACAGCTTCATATAACAGCCTCTTTGGGCTTCCATTCAGGGATTCCCTTGCCACATGCCTAGTCTCAGCAGTTTTCTTAACAACAGAGAAAGATTCTACAACCCTTTTACTCCTGTATTCTCCACACCTCTAAAGCCAGAACCATATAGCTGATGCCACCAAATTCTGCTTTCTGCTTAGGATAAAATGTGGCTCCCTCCTTGAATTGCATTTGCATAAGCTTTGATTTGTTGTTGCTCTTTAGGAACAAATAATTCCTTAGGCTTTTTCTTTTCATAAGTTGCAGGAATAGCTGGGTGAGGTCTTACCCTGAGGACATCATTCCCTTTACTACCCTCTCCCCATTCTCCTTATGTCTTTCAGCATAAACTAAATCTCCAATATTAAATTTCCTGGTGTTCCTTTTCTTCTCAAACTGTATATTTTGTATTTTTGCCCAGCTCGCTCCTTTTCATTGTATATATTCATAAGAGTGATCAGTAATAACTAAGTGACAAAGTCAGGATTAGACTGTCTTGAAATCTCCTCTGGCAATTAAATTAGCCTCAAGAAGATTCTTAAGGCAAGGGCAAAAAGTAGACACAGTCTTTGCTAAAATACAGAAGAATGGTCTATAGGCCAATTGCTAACATTGTTCCCTTCTGAAATCTCTTGAGCTGGGCCTCTATAATCCTCATTGTTCTCAGCACTATTGTCTTCCAAGGTCCTGCTAGGATGGCCAGTTAAGCCGTGCTTAAAGTGTTCAACTGCTTTCCTAGTCCAAACTCCCCAAATCTAACACATTTCTCATAAACAACAACAAAACCAGCTTGGTCAGACCTGTGACAGCAATAGCCTATTCCCTGTATCAACTTCTGTTACAGTTACATTTCTATAGCCATGATTAGACATTATGTCCAAAACAACTTATATAAGATGTTTATTGAGGTTCACTATTTTAGGGGACTAGAGTCCATTATCATCATGGCAGGGAGCATGACGGCAGGCAGGCAGCCATGACACTAAAGCAGCAGCTAAGAGCTTATAGCTGATCTTCAGGCACAAGGCAGGGGGGGCATGTAATTAGGAATTATGTGGGTTTTTGAAACCTCAAAGCCCACCCAAAGTGACACACCTCCTTCAATAAGGCCACATCTTCCAGTACTTCCCAAACAGTTCTACCAATTAGGAACCAAACAATTCAAATATATGGATCTGTGAAGGGCATTCTCATTCAAATCACCACTTGACTGTCAGAAAGGGAGAGATCAAGCTGTATAGAATCCAGACAGAGTGGCCAGTGATAAATGAGGATTCAGAAAGACAGGTTATCCTCTCACTCAGAGATGATGGTGATGATGAAATCCTTTATCTTTCAGCAAATCCCAGGACCCAGGGAACTATCAGGTTCTTTTGGGGAATACTCAGCTGTACCAGAAAACACAGCATACTCAGAAGATGTCTGTGAACCGTATCATCAAACACCCAGACTTTGAGAAGTTTCATTCCTTTGGGAGTGACATTGCAATGCTGCAGCTGCGTCTGCCCGTGAACTTCACATCCTACGTTGTACCTGCCTGCCTCCCATCTAAAGACACACAGCTCCCCAACCACACATCTTGTTGGATAACTGGATGGGGAATGCTTTCTGAAAACAGTAAGGGAAAGAGAAGTTGGAGAGGGAGTGAGGGCAGGGAGAGGAGGAAAAGAAGAGATGCATAGGAAGGGAAGAGTGACTCAGCTGGTTTCTGAAGTCACTGAACGTTGCCCTCTGTATCTCACCTCCATGAGAAGGCAACTGTAGAGTCCTTCTAACTCTGAAAGTGTGAGAGTTCACAGCCACAAACTTCCCTGCATCCCAGGTTCTGAAGGTAGAGATTGCTGATATTTGCCATCAAGAATCTGGGCTCCTTGAATATTAATGGTCTTTTTATTCTAAGATTTTAATCAGCCATGGATCTGAGGTGACTTGATTGAACTCAAAGGTCAGGTGTGGAGGCTAGCCCATTCTATGTTTCCAACACTGTAACAAATATACCTGAGGTAATCACTTTTAAAAGATAAGGTTTCTTTTAGCTCACAGTATTAGAGCTTCCAGTCCATGATTATTTGGCCCTGTTGTTTTAGACCTGTGGTGAAACAGCACATTGTGGTGAGGAAATGTGTGGTAGAACAACGATGCATACCTTCTGGTCAGGTGGCAAGCAAAGAGGAAAAAGAGAGGCCAGTGTACTAGTATCTTCTTAACAGACACATATGTCTAATGACCTAACTTCCTTCCACTAGGCTCTACCTCTTACTAATAGGATATTCTATTACCAATAGTGTCACACTGGTCTGAACACTCAATATTCAAAGTAAAATACATGTCATTACCAAATAACTTGAGTAAAGTGGAAAGAAAATCACATGTTATTTGAGATAATTGAGAATGCATGATAGTAAGAACTAATGAAGTTCCACAGTGTTTAATCTCACTTAATTTCAACTGGTTTTATCCTGTTTTTACAATCTTGTCAGGTGAACTACATAATGGAGAAATCCTTTTGGTTTTATTGCTTGTTTGTTTGTTTCTGGTATTGGTCCCTCACACATACTTGGTAGAGGCTCTACCAATGAGCCAATAAGAAACCCTTGTTTTGTTATTTTAGATTGGAAGTAGAGAACTGTGTGTAAAGTCATACCCAGAAGTATTTATTAAAGGATTATGACTTGGGAATATGCTTACAGAATAATGTAAATTAAAGAAGAATGAAGATTTGTAATTGTTTATGGGATCATAATTTGGCATATTTGTTCTCAAAAGAAGAGAGTTAGGTGCTTTGGGAAGAACTTGTCTTCCTGAGGAGCTTGGCTTACCCTAACCCCTGCACATTCTTGAAAGCAGAGGTCACATTTTGTTCTACTATACCAGTGTAGTACATGATGGGTACTCCATAGTGCCGCTGCTACATAGTCTGGTATAATCAACTCTATTTCTTTTATAAAATTATTATTATTTTTTATATTCCAATCCCAGTTCCCTTTCCCTCCCCTCCTCTCTCTCTCCCCATCCTCCCACCTCCAATCTTCTCCTAAGAGAGGGTAAGGCCTCCCCTAGGAAGTCTACTAACTCTGTCCCAACATCTCATTGAGTCAAGAAAAAGGCACATCTCCATTCCCACACCCCTGTGTCTAGGCTGGGCAAGGTATTTCTGCATATAAAATGGGCTCCACTGAGTCAGTTTGTGCACTGCCAGTGGCCTCATATATTGTCCCAGTCACACCATTCCCACATATATTAAGGGAGTCTAGTTTGGTCTTATTCAGGTTCCCCATTTGTCAAACCTGAGTCAATAATCTCTCACTAGCTTGCATCAGCTGATTCTGTTTCCCCATCATGGTCTTGACTCCTTTGTTCATATTATTGCTCCTCCCTCACTTTGATTGGCCTGTTGGTTAGTTGTGGGTTTCTGCATCTGCTATTTCTTAACTGTAGTTTCTAAAATGGTCCTCTACTTTCATGCTGTGTGTTTCCACGTGAGTCTCCATGTGGCTGCCAGAATTACTTTAAAACATTGTCATGTCATTTTCCTTTTCAGAACCTTCCACTACCTTCTCACTTGTGCTTTAACTCAAAATTTAAAAATCCCTGTCAAGGTCTTATGTGATGATAGCACCCTGATCCCTCTCTGCTTCATCACTTACTGTTTCTCTCATATACCCAACCCCAGCCTTCTTACTACTCTCCATGGATATGGTGAAGTCATTTCTATCCCAAGGCCACCCCTCACCTTTTCTATGCAATTTCTCTTCCTTCTAGTCTTGGTATGATTGTTTAAGTTTCTTTTTCACAGTCTCCCATCTCCATTTTACTTAATTATGTGTACTGTCACCACTGTGCTATTTCTTTAACACTAATGAGTAAATTAACTTTTTTGTGATTTTTTCCAACTAAAAATGTTCCTTTGTATCAGTTTAACTAGCATGAGGATACTGGTGATATGGTCAGTGGATGGGTGAGTGGAGTTAAGTAAGTCAGGGAGAGGAAGGAAGGAAGGAAGGAAGGAAGGAAGCGAAGAAGGGAGGAAGGGAGGGAGGGAGGAAGGAATGAAATGGGTGCATATATGTTGTGGATAGAAATGTTAGTAGGTCAGAGGAGGAAGGATGAATACAAACACTAATGAAAGAATGGATGGATGGAAGGATGGGTATGGAAAATGGATAGACTGATGAAGGTACTTAAAGATGAGTGGGTGTATGGGTGAATGAGTAGATGAAGACATAGGATAAAGGTTAGTGATAAAGATTGCTGAACAACATTGGGCACATTATTAGTGGGTTTTGCCTCTTTATACAGTAAATACGTGATCTGTTGTTGTGAGGGGGTGAAGATGGTAAGTGGGTGTTTCTAAGAAAAAGCAGAGAAGTTCATGAGAAATAGATTGAAGATAGAAACAGAATTTGTCACTCCCGTCCTATGGTGACCAACAGTCAGAGTAGCCTGAACTTTCCCAACTAAGCCACAGTGTCCATTGTTTACCTTCTCCTTATTTTCACAGCAATACTGTTACCACCCTTCTCGCTGCAGGAGGGAGAAGTGGGCATCATTGAGAATGAGTTCTGTAATGCCTTATATGGGGGAAGACCAGGCCAAAGCAGGGACTATGTGCATGAGGAAATGCTATGTGCCGGGGGCCTCTCCACAGGAAAGTCCATCTGCAGGGTGAGTAAAGCAGTTGTGTATTTTCCCCCACACCCATTCTATCTCAGTTCCTCCAGGAGAGGCTGTATTGTCCTCTAGTCTTTGTGGAGACCACCACACTTCCTGTTTTATTACCTCTGCTTGTTTTCCTTGGGTTCGTGCCTCAACAGTCTCCTTGCAGATAGCTGTTCCCTTAACAGATCCTTACATCAATTTTTGTTGCATATTTTATACTTTTTATTGAGGTATGACATATATACAAATATGTAATTTGTAAGTAAATAGTTTGGTAGTGTTTCCAGTGTTGATTTAGCATGCTCTTGGTCTTGGTACCCATCTCTCTTCTTTGTCACTAAGTGTATTTTGTATGTTGATTGTCATATGCTGTCTTCTGTAATGTTTCATTTAAGTTTCTCGTTTTGTTGTTGGGTTGTCATTTTCTTATGGGAGCTCTTTATACAGTGTAGAAGAAATTCCACTATTAGACATAATGGATTATATGGGAAAACTGTCCCATAGAAGGAAGATGATTGGTCTGAAGTGGAGGGGCATAACCAGGGCCCAGATGTTTGGACTCCAATGTCTTCTGCATCCCTGCAGGCTTCAGTCTTCTGAGCTGACATAGACTGGATTTCCCACGGGGTTTTCCTAAAGACATTTCACAACTCCAGTGACTCTGGTCAGTGTTCTGAAGACCCCTGCTTATTGCCTGGTGATATGAGCTATCTTCACCCAGCCAGGGGATGGGCATTTTTTCAAGAGTTCCAGTTCATAGGTTGAGAAAGTAGTACAGACAAGTTACCAAAGGCAGAGGAGCTGACTAGATATATTGCAGCAACTCAAGGTTTACAGAACCAGGATCTATACATAGGTTAGCAGAACCAGCTTTCTTACAAGTCCCTCAACATTCTCTTCTCAATATCAGGCATGGCAAGCAAAGGGAAAGGTTCATATGTTTATAGCCTGATACCTGTCCTTATCCATCTGGGCTATATAGGGTCTTAACATGCAACTGGTATTTCTAGCCCTAAGCAAATCTCACACTAACTACTCTTTCTCCTTAGGGTGATTCTGGGGGCCCCCTCATCTGTTACCAAACCAGTGCATGGGTCCTGGTAGGACTGGCCAGCTGGGGCCTGGACTGCCGGCATCCCATTTACCCCAGCGTCTTCACCAGGGTCACATACTTCAGTGACTGGATCAGTCAAGTCAAGGGACTTACTCCACTTCCAGAATCTGGATCTGTGTCTCCTCACACAGAACTCCAACCCAGGCCTCTGAGAGCTGCTGGCTCTCCACAGTCCTGCAACATCCTCATAACTGTACAAATCTGGTTCCTGCTACTATTTATCCCTGAGGTTCAAGACCAGGCCACAGGGTGAGCACCAGGCCTTTAGGCATTCTTAGCTCAGACTTCTCTAAGCTATAGCCTCCATTCTTTAGGTTACCATCTGTACCTTTTCCTCAGCATACCTACCTATTCACTGCCACAACCCAAACAAATATAGGAAAGCCACGTAATAAAGCTTCACCTTCCTTTAACTCTGATTGCACTACCTTTGTAGATTTTCTATATTCCTCAGGGAGGAGATGAATCATCAAAAGGAAACTCTCCTTGAGGAAAAGGCAAGGAAATGGGGTATCCCTAATTGGGTAGGGAAATGGGGGCATGCCCACTAAAAGGATATTGTGGAGTAAGGATGCATCCTGGGAAGAGAATGACATCTCTCTGGCCTTGTAGATTGTCCCTGCCTTGGGGGATGTCAAATACTTCAGGGGAAGTAGAACTTTACATTGGCCTTCAAATACAAGGGAGCAAAGGCCTCTTCCTGGAGATAGGGCAGCAGCACTCCTGAGACTTTAAAGAGGAAGAACCAATGCACACAGAACTGGAGAGACTTGTTTGAAGTGATTTTGTGGGGTTGGGGTGTTAGGATCAGGTTAAAGGCATACACATGTGGCTTGTGAATAGAAGCATCAATAGATTTGGTGGTCTAGAGCATTAGTCAAAAGCAGACAGAAGCTGCTCTAGTGAGTGATTGAAAACCAAACATTAAACCAACAGTGCTCAAATCTACTCCTAGGTTAATACTCAACATCGCCCTCACCTACTCCTTGAGTCTCCACTATTCCCATGAATTTAGTGCCTGATGTCTGAAGCCCAGGCCACACCTGTCTGTCCACACTTCAATGGTCAGAACTTGATATAACCTTGTCAGTTTACTTGACCCAGGACTCGGTAATCTAGGACAATTTAAAACAGCAAAAAAATGGTGTTCCGAGCCCATTCTGTGCCAGGCATAGAGTATTTATGTGGTCAGCAGGAGTTCAGAGGCCTTACAATGTTACCCACCCCAGCATTTAGAACCCTCTATAAAGAGAAGAACTCCCACTTACCCTAGGTCTACAGGAACCAGACAACACTCATGAGATTCAAAACAAATCTTTTCTAACCACGGTGTTATCTGAACTTTCTGGATTCTCACTGCTAATACAGATGGCCTTGTGTTCACTAGCAGCAGTGTCCTTGTTTTCAATCTTTTGCTGCATGTGCAACAGGGCTTCCATTTCAAAAGGATCTCATAGACACTCAAGAAAGTATACTACATACATCCTCAGCCCCAGTAGATGGTCTATAGAGTGCTTGTCTACCATAAAAGAGCCCAAGTTTGATCCCTAGTACAAGGTATGATGACAAATACTTGTTATTCCAGGACTTAGGAGGTAGAAGCAAGAAGATTGGATTTCAATCTATATAAAAGTTTCAAATGAGCCTAAGATACATAAAAGCATGCCTTATCCCTGCCCCGCCCCCACAAAAGCATCTTCTTAGTTCATTCTTGCAAGAGGATTTTGAGGGGCAGACCCTGAATCTGTCCACAACTCTACTTCCTAGGAATCTCTACAGCTGGTTGTACGTCTATCATATTGGACCTTGCTGCTTCAAAACCTATGGAATTAAGAACTCAAAAACTTCACTTAGTGACAAGCTTGGTCATAAGGTCTTGCCGCAAAGTTCTTTAGGACTCTGAGATTATAGTTAGAAAGCTCTTCTTGAGGGCTCTAGAGTCTAGGGAAGAGTTAGTCTGACAGTGGAGTGGTCCATACATATTCTTCAGCAAGGGAAGTTCAAGTGGCTCAGTATGGATTATGAGTTCCTTCACTGACCCTAAAGTTACCAGGATAGCCCCTCACAGACTAGCCAAACTCTAGAAACCTAGGTGTCATTGAGCCTGACATGGGCTTTTAAAACCTCAAAGCCAAACCCTAGTGACACACTTCCTCTAACAAAGCCATGTGTCCTAATCATTCTAATTCTTTCAGAGTTCCACTCCCTGGTGACTAAGCATTATAATACATGAGCCTATGGGGGGCATTCTTATTCAAACCATCACAATGTTCTTATAGTCTAAACCATGAATCTCAACCTATAACTAGCCTACTAAAGAACACAACCAAAACTCAGCTTTAGCTCAGCCTAATTAATCTATTACTTGATACCATCTGAATTATTCATTATTCATATCCTTGTGAAGATAAACTGAGCTCTATTAGCTATATTTACACAGAGTGGAACTGGAATAAAGACCCAGAGAGCTCTTGAGAGGGCTTGAACACCTTCCCTTGTCACTAACCATGCCTACATGACTGCTGTCAAAACCTCAGATTTCTAGTAAAGTCTTAATCTGGCCTATATTGAGAATGAGCATCAGACATCCATTTGGGGAGCTATTATGGTATAGGAACAGTGAGCTTGAGGTTGGGCTTGCCAGATAAAAGGGTGTCACCTGAGAGGAGGACCAGAAATATAGAAGTTGCCCTGCCCTCCATGTTGATGCTATGGTTACTGTTCATATTGCCAAAGTAAGGCTCAGTCATGCTTTGGAGTAAAAAGAAATGAGTTGATTTCAGTGAGAGGCTTTGCTTTACAGTATGGAACAGATGGTGCTAGGAATATAACCAAATGCAATCGAGGTCACAACTTGGTGAATGCAAAGACAAATGGGGCACAGCTATGATATCAAAGAGTAGAACAAAATTGTCTGCAGTAAGTGAGTACAGCATGGAAATAATTTCCAAAAATATTTCCCCCTAAACAAAGGAAGCATAGGGATTTTATTATGGGTGGCTTTATGTACACATGCATAGGCCAATTCTTAAGCATGCTGAGGGGCATAGTCAGCTCAAAATCTCAGAACACATAAATGATCAAAGTGGTAAACAGAAATTCCTCTGGGTATGTTAAGTCTGCACCATAAAATTTTAGCTGAAAATAAGATATCTTGAAGCTGCATTAATATGAGTATACTCCCAAGAATGTCTACCTGTCTTAGTCACTTATAATTCACCCCTGAAACATTTCACTGACTCTTATGGGATCAGGGATGAAGGACATATATTTCCTGAAGGATTGGAGTGTTTTACCTTTCTAGTTAGGGAATGAAACTCTTGAGGTAGAGGGAAAAATACCCTTTAGAATCATGTGAGGGCAGTCTAACACTGCAGCTTAGGAGATACATACATGTATAATTGTTTTCTAAAAACATTAAAACATATCTAAATATGAGATAAATCATGAATAAAATAAGTAAAGTTGATAGCTGTAATTTATGTAAACTAAAAGATATAGGCAATGTCCCTATGAAGCAGGGTCAAAACAGTTAAACAAACCAGCTAGAAAAGTAAAGAAAAGATGGACAGTCATTGTGATATTTTATATAATTTCATTTAATATGACTTTCAGGTTTTGGTTACAACAAAAGAACTTTCAAAATAAGAAGCTTTAAGCTATATAAACAAGCTGATTAGGGCCCAAGACAAAAAACTCATTACTGTTTTGGCTTTATAATTGTTGGACTTTTTGTCGGTTCATAGGGCAAGTGTTCTAAAAGCTGTTAGATAAAGGGCCTGCCCCCTTTAAGATGCTGATCATGCTACAAAGATCATATCCCAAGCCTGGAGAAATAAGGTCATTCTCCCCTTTAGCTGTCTCCTTCTGGGCCAGAGTTAAGAAGTCATGCTGTGTTATGGCCTCACAGCCTCTTCTCAAAGCTGCAAGAGATGTAAGAGAGGAATAGGGGTGAAAATAATCAAAGTACATGCTATGAACTTCTAAACAATAAAAATAACAAGACAAACCTAAAATTTTACAAATGTACTTGTCCTTTTTAGGTGACATGACCTAGTATGGAGGCCTCTGCTGTCAAGGATATGAAAATCAATGAGGGAGAAGGTGTGGACTGCCACATATTAGCAATAAAGTTAAACTAAGAGATAGGAATCAGAGCCAGTCCAAAATCACTCTAGAGTGGAAGTCTTCTTAGGGACACATCCAACCCATTCTTCAAAAATGATTCAGAGAATCAAGTCATATTTCAGGAGCCCAAAGAGGAAATAAGTGAGAGTAAAACTGACTTGTCCGTTTTCCTGAGCACAGGCCCTATGCTACCTAAAAGGCATGCCACATGGAGAAAGCACAAATACACTTTATCAGAACATTAATGGGGGCAGTCAGTATTGTCAGTGAAGTATGGGATACTGAGGAGGGGAGTAATTGAAAGTACCTGACCAAAGTGACACCTACAGATCAGATATTGGTGAGGCTCTGGCATGGGTGGATATTGCCTCTGACACAGTAGCTTCTTCTGTAAGGCCACACATTTCTGGAACTGTATGTACCTGTCTGCCACTGTCTCCCATTTATTTCTTTTGGTCAATGAAAGCATCACCTGCACCAAGCTCTCCTCTTTTGCAGGCCAGAGAGTATGCCTTCTTGGCAGATTTAGGGAAGTTCTTGTTATGGCACTTGTCTAAGACATATGAATGCATCCAGGGCTCCTGTTGCTGTTTCGCACTATGTCCTGTTGAGGATAAGTGAACCTGCTGCACCAGAGCAGCATTCATAAGTACACTAGAAGGTCTATGGTCATACACAAGTAAGGGTTTATAAGCAAATTCATCTGAGATAGGGAGTTTGTCATTTGGGGACCCTAGAACTTGGATGGGCAGCCTGCTTTCTGATTTGAATTTCTCTTCCCTGGATACCCAGCTATTATAGTCAGATATCTGATTTTCATGGGGACCTGATGTTTCCTTTAGGGCCCTTCCAGCTACCAGAGTACTTTGTACTTTTGCTGTATTACCATCTGCCCCTTGGGTACTCTTGTACTGGCTGGTGTTCAATCAAGGCTGTGATTGAAGACCACTGAGCTGCCCTCCTTTAACCGTGTTACTGACCTTGTTGGATACAAACGTGCTTTTGTCATTCACCTTTGTTCCTTGATGCCCCCGAACTGTTTTGCTGGGATACAGTCTCTTACCCAGTGACACAGGGCCAGCCTCATTGGATATTCTGGGCACATCTTGGCTGTGTTTACTGCTCTCTGACTCTTCCAGGCTGGTGTTGTTTAAGACAATGGATGTCTGTTGCAGCACAGACTTGCTTTTGACATGTCCATCCTCCTTATCAGAAGGTGACTGTCTCTGATCCTCATGTTCTTCCTTGTCCACATGTGAAGTAAAAAGGAGAGGATGATACCCTGATCTGGACACAGTGCCAGATATCTGACACTCATTTGTTTCACCAAGATGCCTGATCAAATATTTTTGCAGGGCAGTTTCAAGTTTTTTCCAACATTGGCTCACCTGTAAGGTCCCCAAAGGTTTGCCTGGCAGACTGCCTGTGTGGTGTTTTAGGACTGTTTCACAGTTTGATTGCAGGCCATTATCTAGAGTGCCCTTGGTGTTACTCCATAGCTGGTATTTTTTAACAGCCTCTGTGCTATGCTCCCTGGCCTTTAACAGTTTCTCTGCTGACTGTCTTGTTGGAAAGCTTCCAGGTTTGTTCAATACAATGTTGTGTAGGTCTTTGCTTCCCTGTTGCTTAAAGAAAGAGATCCATGAAAGCCCATAGTTGCTTGTAGATGAGGATGCCTCTGGAAGTTCTGCCAGAGGATTCATCCATGGTAGAGACTTATAGATCCTCTGGGGCAGGCCCCAGCGTTGTAGGATGAGCCTCTTTCGAAGGTGGTGCTCAAGCTTCTTCTGGAGCTCACTGGTAAGAAGGAAATTTCCAAGACAGATGAACCTGGAAACATGGGTCTTGGAAGACTGCTTGACCAATGAGGGTTTGGGAGGTGGGGGACAAAATTCTTCCTGGGATTTTTTGACCACAGTGGGTAAACCCCACACTCTCTCAAGCTTCTTTTTCAAGATGTTGTAATTCAGGCAGTGAACTGCAGATGGCTCAAGAGGTTGTACCTTATGCTGGGGTCTGTGAAAATACACCCCACAGATTCTAAGCTGGGTTAGAGGAGAAGGTGACAGAACTGGAATTGGGTATTGAAGCTGGGCCGGGGGCTTGGCTGGAGGGACAGTTTGGGACTGAGATAGGGACAGAGTTTGGGGCAAGTTCTGTGGTTGACTCTCAGGCAAGGACAAAGGTGTGTAGTTGATAAGCACTGGGGAATCTGAGAATCTGTTGAAGCATCCTGAGATCAGGGAACTGTCAGTCCACACAGTAGCAATAGAGTTCATGGACTCGCTGTGTAGAGAAGGGAGGCCCCAGAATAACTGGATGTGTTTAAGTCCTAACTGATCTTCAGAGGTCCTGAGATGGGGGGACTGCTGGTTCATATGAAGTCTCTTTGATTTACCTTTGCAGCGGCCCAAAGGATGGGAAACTGCCAAGCTGTGCTGATCAGACTCTGAGGTCTTCCCCCAAGTTTTAAATGAACCAGCCATCTTTCCATCTTGTCTCTCAAGTAGTACCATGGCATCAGGTCTGGGAAAGGGAAGGTTTCCAGGCAGTGTAAGACAGGTTGTGATGTTTCCCCATAAAGAGGATTCAGAAGAATGAAGGTCAAGAAGCTCTTGGTTAACCAAATGTGCTGGCTCCAACTGAAAAGAATTGTCAGTATCTGTCTGCTGATGAATAAATTCTGACATTGCATGCCTTGAACTGAAAATGCTTTTGTTTGCTGGAATAGTGAACAACTCCCTAGGGCTGTCCATCGGAGACAGAATTGTTGCTGGCTGGAGAAGCAGTTCTGTTTCCTGAGTGGCATGCTGTTGTGGAAGAGGGGAAGTAGCACGTGGATGGAGAGAATCAGGGTCCAGAGAGAATTTAGCATTCACAGGAGGAACAGATTCTGATAGCATAGAGTCATCCAGCAGTGAGGCAGAAAGTGTGTCTTCTAAGTGGGCACTCTTGTGAAGTGAGATAATGGAGGAAGACTGTAGAGAAGGCTCATGTGGAAGGTCTGGAGTTGGATTTCTCAGAGGGTTTTCTGGGAGGGGAAGGGACAGAGTCAATGAGGTCTCAGTCACAGAAACTGTGGTGTAATCCATACTGGACACAGAGGCAGCACCATCTTCAAGGGTGGCCTGAGAAAGTAGGCGACTGATCTTAGTAGTTGCTCCATTACACACATCACAGGAGAGATCTGGACATAGTAGGTGCCGAAAGTGGGAAGGATCATAAAGCTCACCTAGGGGGCTGTAGGAGATAGAAATGTAAATTCTGTTGTAAAGATCAACATTAAAATGGGATTTGCTGGCCTAGCTGTGATAGAGATACCCAACGCCTGTATATCTATTCATTTTATGCCACCCACAGCTTCCAGAGATGCTATAACCTCTCTCCATGTTGTTCTTTTGTATATTTGTCACATTGGATACCTCCCATGACAAAAGCAAGCTGTGCAGAGTGCCCATGGTGCTCTGATCGTAGGGAAAATGAGGCCCAGGAAAAGGGGAGGAGGAGAATCACCTTTGTACGACAGACAGCAGCTTCCTCCATTCCTGTGCTTGTCTCTGGGTAGTTCTATAACCTGGGAAAGCAGAGGTGTTAGTTGTAGGGAAGGAAGGTAGAAACATTATGGTCACACAGCAGTCTGTCTGAGGCAAATACTTAGGTTAGTAAAGTCTAAAAGTACCAAGAACAAGTAGACAAGATCAAGTTGTTATTAAGAAGGTTCACATGTATGTAGTTTCCTGTTAAAATTACCTTCATATCCATTGTCCCATGTGATGATGCTCAAAACCACCATGCAAAGCACACATGTTTTGGTTTCCTCAGAAGTATCTAAGCACCCAGGTGTCAGGTATGTGGATGACATTAGAAGGCAGGAGCTTGTGGCTCAAAAAAAAAAAAAACCAAACCAAACCAAAACAAAACAAAATACCTCCCCCCACAAAACACCCATAATTCTCCCTGGACATGTCCAATGCTCATTGCATATGCAGTACCCACTGTCCAGATGGTGCCTGACAGCTTCATGCCCATAGTAGAGCAGAGAATCAACTTTGTCATGTCTCTTATGCTGTCTTCCTGTGAGTCTCTCCTTTGAGGACTATTTCCTGAAAGACTGTGTGTGGGAACTTTACCTCTCTGATCACAGCCCTAGGACTTTATAGAAATAATAGGATGGGAAACCAGGAAAAGGATGCCCAACAGATAGGAACCTACCTTTAAATGATCTCCTCCTTCCTTTCTTAGCTGTGCTTTTCCACTGTGGACATAGAAAAATGAACAAGGTATTGTAATTTTTTCTGCTATTTCTCTTCTGAAGAAACCCAGACTTCATAAACCAAGATTATGATATGTATTCAATTAATGAAATTTAGCCCTTCTTTTAGTTAACTTTCAGAGGTGACCAGATGTTTCATATTCACTTCTTTGGGAAACCAAAGGAAAATTTTGTCTGTAAGAGCCACATTTGAGATTATCAGTCAAAAATTTGAAGCTAACAGCAATGTCTATTCTCTCTTTGAGACTCATTTGTCCTGTGGAACAAAGCTTAGGTTTCAGGTTCTTCTAAGGGGCTCTAATGAGTTAGAAATGTTTTCCTGACCGCCCAACTTGGAGGGTAGTTGGGTGAATGTAAATGCAGGATGAGAATGGAGCCTAGAACTGAGTGTCAGGAGAAACTATTCTCCTTCAGAGAATCCACCTTCTGTAACTAACCCTTTTAAACAAGCAATCAGCATTTTGTACATTTTTGCTCTAGAACCTTTATCCATACCCAGAGTAGTAGACTGAAGATCCAGATGAAAACTTTAACCCTCCCTGTATTCCTCCTCTGTCAGGACCCATGCCCTAGGACAACAATGTTCTTTACCCTCTCCCTGGTATCCCATCTCAGTGAAGTCTCTGGCAGATAGCCAAATTCATATAGTAACTCATTTGGTATTGTAGCATACCAATAAAGATATATTTTGGGGTTCACTATATATCCTCACCTTTTTGATGTCCTGACTTTTCCAATATGGTGGTAAGAATGGTTTCAATATCAAATACCATAAATACAGAAGAATAAACCCCACTCCACTCAGAAAGATATAATTGGGGTCAATATCCAAGAAAAATGTTCCAAAGTCCAACCATGGTTCAAAGAATCTATTCAGAAAAGAGAGGATGTTCTCCATAGACTGAATCACATGGCGGCCCTAAGGCATCTAAGTTCTGAGGTTACATAGGCCTCACTGTAAGCCCAGGTATGCATCACAGAACAGGGGAGAGTCATAGAGGGTTTGTGAGGGCAAAAGGAAGGGTGAGCCCCAAGCTCCTCCCTCTTCCTCTTCCATGCCCCACCAGTGAACTCTGCTTGAGACTGCTGCTCTATTTTCCATCCCCCTTACTTCACTTCATGTTCCTCAGGGAAGTGCCCTCTTCGTTCCCTATTTGATCTGGTTGCCAACCCATTCCTCTTTAGTTTTTGGGTGCCCTTGAACTGGACTCAGCCAATTCTGATTAGAGTCTGGCATGATACCTGGAATTGCTTTGGGACAGATACTTAGTCTCAGCAGCACAAATATCTTCTCTCTAAAACAGTGGTTCTCAACCTGTGGGTAGAGACCCTTTTGGTGAGTCAACTAGCCCTTTTATGAGGGTCACATTTCAGATATCCTGCTCACCATATTTCACTAAATAGCAAAATTACAGCTAGGAAGCAACAACAAAATAATTTTGTGGTTGAGGGTCACCATAACATGAAAACTATATTAAAGGGTCACAATTCTAGGAAGGTTGAGAACTACTGCTTTAATATAATACATCTTCTTTATAAATTGTTTTTTCATGTCACTCAGCTATAAAACAAAGTTTATTTTCCATGCATTTACTTGTGTGAATATTCCATTAAAACATTGTTTCAGTCAGCCTTTAGTGTGTTTAGTCAGAGGGACAGCCTGAATCAGAAAACATAAATAAAAAGTGAGTGTACAAACTAACAACTTCAAGTCTTCTGGGTTAGATGGCTATTCCATTTATGTTTCTGAAGTTACTGAAGCTTTAGATAGACCAAGATTTGAATATGCTCTAAACCACACACACACACACACACACACACACACACACACACACACACACACCCTTTAGCAAAGCCCTGTGATAATTCCACATATAAGAATCAGTCTTTTTCCTGTCAGTGTCTAGTTATTGTGATAGTTCCTCCAACTGAGCCTAAAACAGACTGTCCTAGACGACCAATTTCAATTTCTAAGTGTTATATGTCTAGCTTAGGGGATAATTTCTAGGCCTCAGTGCGGTATCAAAACCTTAGTGTAGAAACTGTGATTGAGGAAACTTGTTTACACATGTGAGACGTGCAACTCTCATCTTTTTTGAATATATTTTGTCATGAAAACTGTTGGGGAAGACCTGCTCTGTCCAAAATTTTATAGTGTTTCAACAACACATTTTTTATACATCTTTCAAGTTTTGAATAAAGCAAAATTCCACATTTCACAGAAAACTGCATTTCTTTTCTACTTTTGTTCTTTCATCAGATGTCCACTGAATTCTAACAGCACTTCATTACTACTTTAGTCTCGAATCCCTTCCTTTGACATTGTGACTTCCCTTCTTACTCGATCTCTTGTGGTGTGGTACAGTCTCCAAGTCAGGCAGAATCAGTCACAGAAGCAAGTATCCTTGCCTTGAAGACAAACTACACCTCTTTATAGCATCAGCCAAATTTTCATGTACCATATACTTACATCAGGATTAAGAGATAGACAGATAGTTCAAGGCCACCCAGAACTACACAAGATCAAATCAGTCTAAAAGAGTAACAGAGCTCATGCCTTTAATCACACTAGAGAGATATAAAAGATAGGAGCAGGATCTTCGGTAACCAGTCTCAGGAGTCTCTAGCCACATTGAGGAAAGCATAGCAGTCTGAGTGAGTCTGAGGACCAGCAAAGTTGGGAGCAGTTTTAAGATCGCCCCTTTGGTCTGAGCTAATGTAGAGATAAGATCTAGTGGCTGGCTGCTTTGTTTTTCTGATCTTCAGTTTGAAGCTTGAACCCCAATATCTGTCTCTGGGTCTTTTTTTTCATGTTATACTTAGTCTTGAAGTATTCCAAGAGCATCCATCCCTCACTATCTTATAATGTCCTTACTATATAGAAAGAGTGGTGTGTGTGTATCTGTATCTGTTTTCTTTCCCTCAATTTTGGTCCCCTGCACATCATGTGGCATTTGTGTTTTGCTTTGTTTTTAACACAAGATCTCACTCTATAGCTCAAACAAAGCCGGGACTTACTATATAGCCCAGGCTGTCCTTGTCCATGTAAAAAATCACTCTGTAGCTGAGCTTGAAATCAGGAACCTCCTGCTACCTTTCAAGTGGTGTGCCACCATACCCAGATATCTTGGCAGTTTTTGAGGATAATTTCTTCCCTACTTTTGTCTTTCCAATTTTGTTCATTTTGTTATTAAAATAGTTCAGATCAGCATGTATTTTGATAGGAATAGTTTATCTTTTTCTTTCTTTTCTTAAGGCAATCCAAAAAGGCTTACTTAGATGCCCCAAAACATTTCATTTTCAGGTTAACCCTGCAATAACATTTAGAAAGGAACTAGTTTATGATTATTAAAAGAGACTCACTAACATCCCATTCTGTATATCACTCAAGTGATTTAAGCCTGCTCATAGGCAGTACCCACCCTGATCTGCTCATCTATGCCTTACTCTCACCTGTAGTATCAGTGAAGTTCTCAAGGTATTGATCTTGCTATGTACTTAGTTTTCCCAACTAAGAGAGAACTTTGTAACTTGATCAGTGCATACAATTCAAAACAAAGGGGTTCTAAACATGTACCATGGACATTCATTTTCTAGGTAGGTACAAGGCAAGCTATGTAATGGCTCATTTCATGGTCAAAATGTCACAGCGAATGAGGGAAAACATAGTAATGACCAGGACTCATGTGAGGAAAGGAACAACAACCGGGTCCATGTACCTGAGTAACGTGGTGTCACCTGGAAGCATATTCTTCTACAGAACTAGTTTCATGAAACGAGACGTGCATGTTCATGGTGTAATACTCAATTGCTCTGTGGTACCTCCCTCAGTCATCACTTCCTGATGATCAAGATGGTTATCATTGGATGACGTATTTTTTTCAGTTTTCTATAGTGGAGGTAGAAAACACATCAGAACTTGGCCCTGGATGCCCTCCATTTATTCATGCTAACACCTTTTGGTGGCCAGTTTTCCCTATGTCCACAGAACCGTACACAATTACCAAGATTGCCACAGTGGCTTTGTGACAATCTTTGAACTCAAGAATATTACCAACTTCTGGCATCTTTGTGTGGTATCATGAAAATTCCCACTCAAATGCCCTTCTCAAATTCAGTTTTTCAGGCAAGAAACATTTTTAAAACTATTTTTCTATCTTCTCTTTATCTTGGTTTTGCTGTCTCCAAGAACTAATTTCCCTGCACCAGGCCATTTGCTTGTAGTATATATGTACCTTCCAAATTTGAGACAATTGTGTGGAATTTATCTTCTCCAGGTTGTGCAGGGTCACATAATTCAGGCTACTGATTGGAAAGTTGTTGCTTCCAATTTCTACCAGTTTTATGCCATTTGGACTCTTCTATCTCATACCACGAGGACTTTGACAGAGTCATTCCTGAATTTTAAAAAACATCTTTAGTGGAGATTTAAAGACCCTTGTTATTACTCAGTTTCTCCAGGAGGGCACTTTGGTTAAGCTCTGGCTACAGAGATGGCATAGCACCCAATGATGTGCCTCACCTGTTACAGGTACACTTCCTGACAATGAAAACTTGGCTAAGGACATGGCAGTGTGAAGGGCTCTTCCAGTGGTATCGGTTCTGCAACTGGTCCTTGGCCTAGACTGATAATGACCTTCCTTCCTTCTCTTCAGGCTTTCCTACCTTAAAAAGGAAGAATATTCTGACTTGTGCTTTAACCTAGATAAGCCTTGTTGATATCAATTACATGAAATAAATGAGTTGCAAACAAGAGATACTATATGACTCCTATATGTAAAACTCAGAAAGAGGGAAAACTGATAACTGAAATCTTATTGCCAGGGGTTGGGAGGGAAGAAATGGGGACCTGTTGTTTACTGTAACAGAGTTTGTTTTGCAAAATGATAAGGTTTTGGAGCTCAGTGTAATACAATGGGACTAAAATTAATACCAAATTGTGAAACTTAAGAGTTGAATGGTAAATTTAAATTTCTTTGTATTCCATCACAATCTAAAAATATGCATTGGCAATATTTGATGGAGTGATTACCCATGAAAATTCAATCTCTCTCTCTCTCTCTCTCTCTCTCTCTCTCTCTCTCTCTCTCTCTCTCTGTGGTGTATGTGCACTTATGTGTGCATGCCCACACATTAAAGTTGGGCATCTTGCTCTATCACTCTTATTGCTTTGAGATAGAATTTCTCATTTTACCTAGTTCTAAGATGGCAGCCAATTAGTCCAAATGATCCACCTGTCTTTATCACTTACAGTGTTATGGTTGCAGGTATGCGTGCATGCAAATACACCCAGCTTTTTATGTGGATGCTTGGGATTTGAACTCAGGTTCTCATGTTCATGCAGTAAGTCCTTTTACCTGCTGAGTGGTCCCTCCAGCCCAAACACAGTTCATCACAGTATTTTTGTGTTGGTTGGGGCTACATGTGTTTTTCTTTTCTGTCACTGATATTCTTCAATGGCTGAACATTTATGGTGTCTTAAAATTGGGCAATTGACATTTCTTTTTAACTCAGGGAAAGTATACTATAGATGAAGTCTAGAAGTAAAACCACGAATATTTGAAATACATTCTTAAATAAACACAGTGGAGCAAGTATCCTAAACTATATGTCAAGGCAAATGGTCCCATGCTGACAAGGGCACCTTTTGTAGAGAAACTGTCAAGCTACTGATAGGGGAATTAGAAGGAGATTTTCAATCATAAATGACACCTCCAAAGAATATGCTGTCTTCAATCCAAGCATCAGGCTGGCACCAACTTCATGCTCTTAACTTCTTCCTGAATTGTTTGAGAATGTATTGTGCCAAGAATCAATCTTGATACAAGAACCAGCTCAGTCCAGTTTATTGACATTGTGCCTGCATTCATTTGAAGCCTACCTGCTATTTTTCTTTCGTTTCATTTCTCCTTCTTGAATAA